ATTGCGGAGATGAAGACTTGAAATTTATTGTTTTTTTGCTTACAACAGTGCTTCTGAGTTTCAATATTCACGGCCCAATATTCAATCATGATTTTCATCGCGCCCCCCTCATACAATGATAATGTATTGAATTCAATAATACTTTACTTCGACACTAAAACTATGATTCGACCTTAACTTCTTAAGTACCACTGGCGTATATAAACGTCTTGCTCAAAGTGTTAATTTTCCCGGACGTATATGTAAGTCTTTCTGAAGTACGATCTCTTCTCTGCAATTCTATACATAAAATTATTCCGAAGGCTTTGGAATGGAATAAAAGGACCTTGACAATGTTTGAGAAGAATTTACTTACTTTAGAATATTTTTGTTTCTTTATTCCTCCCACATGACATAAGCGCGCCTACATGGTAAATGGTTGGTATCAGGAATCGAATCGCGTAATTTTTAATCGGCAGTTAAAGAAAACATTATAAAATGTACAAATTATAAATATAAGTGTTAATTTATTTTTATATCTGACATTCCCATCGGGTCACAGGTAATTATTGAACTTGTTCTTAAATTAGTATTGCTAAATTTATTACAAAATGCATTGTGTAGCACTGATATATTTATAAAAACAATATATCAGTGTAAATGTGTATTTTGTTTTTGATTTATTTTGTTTGATAACTTTCAGTAAATTAACAAATTTTCAAAATAATTTTTTGTTTTTGACTTTTCAATATGCTAGCGCCCTTCTCGTAGTCATCACGCCCCTCAAAGGGGCGCGCCCCACAGTTTGAGAAACACTGGCTTACAATATATTGAAAAAATAGCGCTACATTATATATACATGTAAATTATAGTTTTACAATTTGTGCTTTTGAACAGCTGTATAATTTGTCCAATGGACATGCCTCTCTGACATTTGTGTGTTAGATACACTCTCTTCAAATAAAAAAGAAAACTGTAACTTTTCAAATCACTACATACGCTTGCCTTTTCTGTTAAATTCCTCCCCCAAATACCAATATGGAAATGACTCGCTTAATGGCGGTAATTTGCTCCAGGATTACATTGTTCTCCTGAGTACGATTTCCCACAAATATAATTATAGTAAGCAATTTAACCATTCCAGCTACTACTAACAATCATATACAAATCTATGAATAAATACCCAACATACAGTTAAAGTTCCTGTAAATGTTTACACAAACCATTATTATAAATCTGTTCAAGACTAAGGAAAAGGAAATCAAGAACATGTATGGCTCTGCTCTAATCGTTATACACGTTGATTAGTATCACATAACAATTTAAGGTATCCGACTACGATTGGAACGTAGTTTGAAAAAGAGACGACCGAATATATATTTTTTTCCTTTAATATTTAGCATATTTTGAATTAATATACATATATGAAATGGTATTTTTGAGAACATTATTACAAGAAAAAATTATTTAAAGACATATTTTTGACAAAAAATGAAAAACAGATAATACATTTTCAAAACACACATGCTCCTTTTTTTAAAGAAAATATTTCTACGATAATAATATGTTTCCTGTGTATAGCTAAGATTTCTATACAGGGACTGAATTAGGATTTTTTGAAATATGTTCCTTAGAAGTGTATTTTTTCATATTTTAATACACAGGAATAGAGGAATTTTAAGAATAAAACATCGGCTCTTACTTCAATAGATCCCAACTCTGAAAATAATGTAAATTTTTCAGAAGTCCTTGTTCAGACTCTGTACAGAACTTGTAGCTATATATAGGCAAAATATTACTATGATGGAAGCATTTTCCATAAAAGGAGAATGTTTTAAGACTATGTCCTTCTTTCTTTCTTTTTTGCCAAAGTAATTTTTCAATTCCTTCTATTAGCTCACGCTCTCTATATATTTATTAACTTCGTGGAAATTTCAATCGTTAATAAAATACATTTTAAAGCGCTCAATTATGCTGAAATTTTATATACACTATTATTTTGGATGATAATACAATAATTTAATTATAATTAATAAGCATTAATTCACTAAAACTAATTATTTAACGAATTAAAACTACAGCCACGTTGGCATCATTTTTCGCAACTTAATGACCATTTTGGTGGCTTGTGTCAAAACTAGAAACGGTTTTTTTCTCACGTTTTAAGGCATTCAGTTGAACTGAAATTTATTTACACGATTGTTTTTGATGAAAGTAAGATAATTTAATGATACTTTATAAAACTTAATTACCATTTAATGTTGTGATTCTGTCATATGTATGTACATATTTATATTAATTGTAACTATTTAATAAAAAGTAGCTAAAATAAAAATTTTCATTGTTGATCTAAGTAGGAATTGACTAATTTTTTTTTTTATATTATTTGTTTTTATTGAAGTAATATTCCCAAGACAACTTTTTGGGTTTAAACTAATGCAAATGACTGCAAATATCTAGAAAAAACTATTCGTTTATACGCATTTTAACGTGGTTCCAAACGTATTCGTATACCTTAATATAAATATGTTTTAAAAATTATATAAATGACGTGATTCTGAATATTTTTTTGAAAAATTTAAGACGTTGTTAACTA